CTATGATTCGCAACAAGAGGACAAATAAGAGTTTCCTATTATTGCATCAAGAGGACAAATGAGAGTTTCCTATGATCGCAACAAGAGGACAAATAAGAGTTTCCTATTATTGCATCAAGAGGACAAATGAGAGTTTCCTATGATCGCAACAAGAGGACAAAAAGAGTTTCCTATGATCGCAACAAGAGGACAAAAAGAGTTTCCTATGATCGCAACAAGAGGACAAAAAGAGTTTCCTATGATCGCAACAAGAGGATACTTGAAAGTTTTCTATAATTGCAACAAGAGGATACTTGAAAGTTTTCTATAATTGCAACAAGAGGATACTTGAAAGTTTTCTATAATTGCAACAAGAGGATACTTGAAAGTTTTCTATAATTGCAACAAGAGGATACTTGAAAGTTTTCTATAATTGCAACAAGAGGATACTTGAAAGTTTTCTATAATTGCAACAAGAGGACAGTTTCCGACTATTTCTAAAAAGTTAAACAACAATCAACAACACACATCAGCAAGTTCAACAACCTACAACATTCATCAGCTGGTTAAATAACAAAAACAACAGCCAACAACACTCACCAGCATTTTCAATAACAACAACCAACAACACTCACTAGCATTTTTAATAACAACAACCAACAACACTCATTAGCATGGTCAATAACAACAACCAACAACACTCATCAGCGTGTTCAACAACAACAACCAACAACACTCACCAGCAGGTTAAACAACAAAAAACTACCTCCACCAGCGTGTTCAATAACGGCAACCAACAACAGTCACCAGCATTTTCAACAACAACAACCAACAACACTCACCACCCTGTCCAACAACAACAACCAACAACACTCACCAGCAGTTCAAACAACAACACTCACCAACAGGTTAAACAACAAAAAACTACGCTCACCAGCGTGCTTAACAACAAGCAACAACACTCACCAGCGTCTTCAACCACAAGCAACATCCCTCACCAACAGGTTAAACAACAACACTCACCAGCAGGTTCAACGACAACCAGCAACACTTATTAGCATTTTATTCAACAACAATAAACACCAACTAGCAACACTCACCGGCAGGTTAAACGACAACAAGCAACACTCATTAGCATTTTCAGCAACAACCAGCAACATTCACTAGCAGGTTAAACAACAACCAGCAACACTCACTAGCAGGTTCAGCAACAACCAGCAACATTCACTAGCAGGTTATACAGCAACCAGCAACACTCACTAGCAGGTTCAGCAACAACCAGCAACACTCACCAGCAGGTTATACAGCAACCAGCAACACTCACTAGCAGGTTAAACAACAACCAGCAACACTCACCAGAAGGCTATACAGCAACAACTAGAAACACTCACCAGAAGGCTATACAACAACCAGCAACACTCACCAGCAGGCTATACAGCAACCAGCAACACTCACCAGCAGGCTATACAGCAACCAGCAACACACACCAGCAGGCTATACAGCAACCAGCAACACTCATCAGCAGGCTATACAGCAACCAGCAACACTTACCAGCAGGCTATAAAGCAACCAGCAACACTCACCAGCAGGCTATAAAGCAACCAGCAACACTCACCAACCGGCTATACAGCAACCAGCAACACTCACCAGCAGGCTATACAGCAACCAGCAACACCCATCAGCATGTTCAACAACAACCAGCAACACGCATTAGCAGGTTATTCAACAACAATAAACAACAACTAGCAACACTCACCAGCATGTTAAACAACAGCGACGAAGCGAACTGAAAGTCCCACCCACACGAGTTGATGTCGATAATGAAACAAGCGTTGATGTCCTCCTGAGAGACAATCACGATCTGGCTCTGTCAACCAAGGGAGACAAGCGACAGATAAATACAGGCTGAGAATTTTACCCTGAATATCTGTAACCTGTGTCGCTAGAATGTTCTACATGACTATACGATCATAGATGTTAGCGTATAAGGTTATGGAATGTTCTACATGACTGTACGATCATAGATGTTAGCGTATACGGTTATGGAATGTTCTACATGACTATACGATCATAGATGTTAACGTATACGGTTATGGAATGTTCTACATGACTATACGATCATAGATGTTAACGTATAAGGTTATGGAATGTTCTACATGACTGTACGATCATAGATGTTAGCGTAAAAGGTTATGGAATGTTCTACATGACTGTACGATCATAGATGTTAGCGTATATGGTTATGGAATGTTCTACATGACTATACGATCATAGATGTTAACGTATACGGTTATGGAATGTTCTACATGACTGTACGATCATAGATGTTAGCGTATACGGTTATGGAATGTTCTACATGACTGTACGATCATAGATGTTAGCGTATAAGGTTATGGAATGTTCTACATGACTGTACGATCATAGATGTTAGCGTATATGGTTATGGAATGTTCTACATGACTGTACGATCATAGATGTTAGCGTATAAGGTTATGGAATGTTCTACATAACTATACGATCATAGATGTTAGCGTATAAGGTTATGGAATATTCTACATGACTGTACGATCATAGATGTTAGTGTATACGGTTATGGAATGTTCTACATGACTGTACGATCATAGATGTTAGCGTATGAGGTTATGGAATAAAGGAGGAATGGTCAAAGATGATGTACACACAAAAAAAGACAAACGAAAAGCAGCAGCAAGAAGGATAAAACAGATTTCAACGGGAGAATATGAACAATTATAGATAGTCTCATTGCAAACAGAGATAACGGGTTGGTGTTACAGAACTTACAAACAATATAAAGATGATAGGCCGGTGTTCATAATAACATAACAACTTGATAAGACTCGCCAAACTTGACTGACAGGAAGTGAGGAAGGGACGCAGAAGTAAACAACTGGACGTACTGATCACGCGACACCAGTGAGGCCAGAACACAGAGCCGATCCGTGATACCTGTGACCGTATGAGAAGGCGAAAGCACGACAATCTGTAGCTGTGTGCATGGCACATGATGATAATAATAATGAGGAGCTCTTAAATGTCTGGAGGGTAAGCGCTACTACATTGACCCACAGCCCACTATAGCTTATGATAAAAAGCTATAATGGGCCGTACCTTGACCTTACAACTGACCCTCTCGCCGGACACTACCAATGGTCACATTGGACATACTTGGGGGTGTCCAAGTGTGATCTGACCGGTTAATGCCGTCTGAATATGCCAACAATGGGACCCCCCCCCCCCCCCCCCCAACCCAAGTGTAAGGGGAAGCGAGACAGTGAGAATCAAAGAATCGTGTGTTACAGAAACAAATCAACACCTACATTCTGTGAAGCAGTTTCAAAATCCAGGACTGTTGTGCTGGCGGCAAAGCCAGACTCTGCCAGGTCAGCGTCCACGGAGTAGAAGGCGACAAACTTGCTGTAACTGTTGGCTTCTCCTGCGGACAAACCGGCATGTTGTTCAGTGGGGTCAGAGGTCGGGAGAAAGGGGACTTATCTCTATACGGACCAGGGGGTGGGGGCGACTTAAATCTATAAGGACAGGGAGTTGGGGTAACTTATCCCTGTAATGACATGGGGCTGAGTAACTTATCTATATGAGGATAGGAAGCTGGGGTGACTTATCTCAATGAGGACAGGGAGCTGGGGTAACGTATCTCTATAAAGACAGGGGCTAGGGTAACTTATAGAGATAAGGACATAGAGCTGGGGTAACTTATCTTTATAAGGACATGGGGCTGGGGTAACTTATCTCTATAAAGACATGGGGCTGGGGTAACTTATCTCTATAAGGACATGAGGCTGGGTAACTTATCTCTATAAGGACATGGGGCTGGGGTAACTTATCTCTGTAAGAAAATGGGACTGGGGTAACATATTTCTGTAAAAACATAGTGCTGGGGTCTTATATAAAACATACAACCAGCATGGTATTTATCCATTTATCTGAGACTAATCAGGGCCTGTAAAATTGCTCAAACTTTGGAGAATGTCCCTATGGAAATATTGCAGCCTATCATCATGGAGAGACCGTGACAGGTCTGAGCAACAGGTAGGGTTGATAGCTACGTGACCTGGCCTTCACTGACGATACCGTTCCCTGGTTACACTTCACTGACAACACTGCTCTCTGGTCACACTTCACTGATGACACCGCTCTCTGGTCACACTTCACTGACGATACCGTTCCCTGGTTACACTTCACTGACAACACTGCTCTCTGGTCACACTTCACTGATGACACTGCTCTCTAGTCACACTTCACTGACGATACCGTTCCCTGGTTACACTTCACTGACAACACTGCTCTCTGGTCACACTTCACTGATGACACAGCTCTCTGGTCACACTTCACTGACGATACAGTACTCTGGTCACGCTTCACTGACGACACCGTCCTCTGGTCACACTTCACTGTCAACACCGTCCTCTGGTTGCACTTCCCTGACGACACCGTCCTCTGGTTGCACTTCACTGATGACACAGTCCTCTGTTTGCACTTCACTGATGACACAGTCCTCTGGTCACACTTTAATGATGACAACGTCCTCTGGTCACGCTTCACTGACAACACTGTTCTCTGGTCACGCTTCACTGATGACACTGTTCTCTGGTCACGCTTCACTGACGACACCGTCCTCTGGTCACGCTTCACTGACAACACTGTTCTCTGGTCACGCTTCATTGATGACACTGCTCTCTGGTCACACTTTACTGTCGACACTGCTCTCTGGTTACACTTCACTAACAACACTGCTCTCTGGTTACACTTCACTAACAACACTGCTCTCTGGTTACACTTCACTAACAACACTGCTCTCTGGTTACACTTCACTAACAACACTGCTCTCTGGTTACACTTCACTAACAACACTGCTCTCTGGTTACACTTCACTAACAACACTGCTCTCTGGTTACACTTCACTAACAACACTGCTCTCTGGTCAAACTTTATCAATGACACTGCTCTCTGGTCACACTCAACTGACAACACTGCTCTCTGGTCACATTTTACTGACGACACTGCTCTCTGGTCACACTTCACTAACGACACTGCTCTCTGTTCACATTTCACTAACGACACTGCTCTCTGGTCAAACTTCACTAACGACACTGCTCTCTGGTCACACTTCACTGACAACACTGCTCTCTGGTCACACTTTACTGACGACACTGCTCTCTGGTCACACTTTACTGACGACACTGCTCTCTAGTCACACTTTACTAACGACACTGCTCTCTGGTCACACTTCACTGACAACACTGCTCTCTGCTCACACTTCACTGACAACACTGCTCTCTGGTCACGCTTTACTGACAACACTGCTCTCTGGTCACACTTTACTGACAACACTGCTCTCTTGTCACACTTCACTGACGTCACTGTCCTCTGGTCACACTTCACTGACAACACGGCTTACTGGTCACACTTCACTGACAACAGGGCTCTCTGATCACACTTCACTGACAACACTGTTCTCTGGTCACACTTCACTGACAACACTGCTCTCTGGTCACACTTCACTGACGACACTGTACTTTGGTCACACTTTACTGACGACACTGCTCTCTGGTCACACTTCACTGACAACACTGCTCTTTGGTCACACTTCACTGACGACACCGTCCTCTGGTCACATTTCACGGACAACACTGCTCTCTGGTCACACTTCACTGACAACACTGCTCTCTGGTCACACTTCACTGACGACACCGTCCTCTGGTTGCACTTCACTAACAACACTGGTCACACTTCACTGACAACTCTGCTCACTGGTCACACTTTACTGACAACACTACTCTCTGGTCACACTTCACTGACGACACCGTCCTCTGGTCACACTTCACTGACAACACTGTTCTCTGGTCACACTTCACTAACAACACAGCTCTCTGGTCATAAATAGACAATCTGTGAAGTTCACAGCATATTGTGACTAGAATTAAACTCTTTGTCTCCAAACTAGACTGCGTATGAAGTTCAAAACATATCAAGACTAGAATTTAACTCTAACTACGACTCCTAACTAAAAATTATGTGAAGGTCACAACATAAAATCTAGTATTCAACTCTAACTACGTCTCCTAATTAGACAATCTGTGAATTTCACAACATATATAAACCAGTAGGAATAAACTCCACAGGGGAGCATGTACAGCAGGGATCTACCAATCGTCAGTAGAAGTAATCTCTCGTCGACAAACATTTCGGCCCACGAGCTCCTGGACGTTTTCAGAGAGTGGGCCCACCTGAGTTCATGAAGCTCAGGGTTGGTTTCCCTGCTGCACGAAATTACCGGATGGTGTTCGGATAGGGACAAGACGACTTGGTGATTTGCAGAAGGAACTGTGAGATAAGAAGTCGTAGCGGTAGCATAATTAGAGCAGTCTGCGTACCTGGACGACCGAGCGACAAGCTTACGATTGGTATACCGGACACATGTTGGACTTTTGTTAGCAGGTGGCAGAGGAACACTGGCAGACAATTCGGACACGATGGACTTTCAAGGGATGAGAAACTCTTTTCCACTAGACACCCGGACCAGCTCACCGAGGCCCGTCCCCTACGTTGTTCCGTTGCGTCTAGAGCTAGCTCGAGGCCCTCTCAGCAACCTCGCCCAGCCGTTTGAGCGTTCGTTTCCGTTCATTACCGCGCAATCCTAGTTCTTTAACCACATTGTAGAGTGAAGTGGAGACGAGACCTCTCGCTCCCACTTCGACGGCAAAGACACGTACTGTGTACGACTCGTTTCTCCTCAGACCGGCTGCTAAATCAAAGTATTTCTCGAGCTTATACATGTGATTTTCGTCTATACGCGACTCATACGGGACGGTCAACTCAATCAGGATGAGCTGCCGTTTTTACGCAGAGTGGAGAACTATGTCAGGTCGCAGGCCGGTCTTCCGGATCAACTCGGGGTACCTTTCATGACCTGGCAGATCAACCACCAGTAACCAGTCCCTCGCAGAGTCTAGCATAGATGGAGCGAATGCGCCTTGGTTGATCTTACCTTTTTTAATCTGCCCAGCCTTGAGGAAACGTATGGGGACGATGGTAGGACTGGCCCTCGCATTGGCTCGCATCCTAGCCTGGTCAACAACGGCTGCTAACTCTTTTAGCACCTTGTTGTGTCGCCAGGTATATCGGCCTTGACCTAGGGCTTTCCTGCATGTGGACAGAACGTGTTCAAGCGTCTGCATAGTGGGCAAGTCGGATCGTTGGCCGCAGACCACTTAACCATATTAACACCTGACTGTAATACATCGTATGCCGAACGAACGATAAAGCTCAGACGCAGCGGGGTCATTCGCCAGATCTCACCCCATGTGAGTACTCTTGGCAATGCGCTCTCCAGGCTGACCCAATGGCCTTGCTGCAACTGCTGGGCTGCTTTCTGGAAACGAACCTCGTTTTCGTTGTCTCTCACTTGTATTCAACTCTAACTCTTTTAACTAGACAGTCTGTGTAGTTCACAACATATTAAAGCCCGAATTCAACTCTAAATATGTCTCCTAACTAGACAATCTGTAAAGTTCACAACAAATTAAATCTGCTTTTCGACTCTAACAACGTCCCCTAACTGGACAATTTTTGAAGTTTACAACATATGGAAACTAGTATCCAACTCTAACTCTCCTACTAGACAATCTGTGAAGTTCACAACATATTAAATCTTGTAATCGGCTTTACAATTTAGCCCAACGGTGTGAAGCAGAAAAGTCAGAAACTACTTACACACAACAAATTATAATTACAAAATATTTATTTTTGGGAGTGTGGGTTGGGCATGGAGGCAGCTGCAGGCGACGGGTGGAACTGGTATAAACCGGTTGAGAGCCTATGCTCCACTGGGACATTAGTGATCAAACCTGCCCAGAGAGCGCAATAATAACCATACAATAATAACCATACAATAATAACCATACAATAATAACCATACAATAAAAACCATACAATAATAACCACACAATAATAACCACACAATAATAACCACACAATAATAACCATACAATAATAACCATACAATAATAACCATACAATAATAACCATACAATAATAACCATACAATAATAACCACACAATAATAACCATACAATAATAACCATACAATAATAACCATACAATAATTTCCACGTGAACCCATTCACAGTCATATAATATTCAACAAACAAATAATGCACACAATAACACACACAAACACAATAATACAGACACGCACACGACAGCACATACACAATAACGACTCACACACAATAACACACACAATAACACACACACAAACACACACAATAACACAGACAATAATTCACACACAATTACACATACACAATAACACACACACACACAATAACACAGACACACACACAATCACACATACACAAAAACACAGACACACAGACACACACACACACCCACACACAGAATAACATTATGACAACTGCAACAACAACAACAACAACAACAACAACACTAACAACAACTGACCGCTGGCCTCATACTCCTGGCCGCTCTCTGTCCGCAAGCGAAAGTCGGTCCGCGGCTGGAAGTTTGTTCGAGTGACATTTCCCTGGTAATGGTATCAACATAGGTCAGGTATGTGAATGTATCAGATATACATGTCTCCAAAACACTCGGACAGACAAACAACTAGACTAATCGACTTACAGACGGACAGACGGACAGACGGACGGACGGACAGACGGACAGACGGACGGACAGACAGACAGACGGACAGACAGACAGACAGACGGACAGAGAGACAGACAGACGGACAGACAGACAGACAGAGAGACAGACAGACAGACAGACAGACAGACAGACAGACAGACAGACAGACAGACCGACGGACAGACAGACAGACAGACAGACCGACCGACAGACAGACGGACGGACAGACGGACCGACAGACGGACAGACATTCAGACGGACAGACAGACAGACAGACAGGCAGCCAGACAGACAGACAGGCAGACAGCCAGACAGACAGGCAGACAGACAGGCAGACAGGCAGGCAGACAGACAGGCAGGCAGGCAGAGATGCAGGCAGACAGGCAGACAGACAGACAGACAGACAGACAGACACAGAAAGTAAGCAGTAATTTTCCGATATGATGTGTACGGATCATAAGGGTCTGTTTTGCAAATCGAATTCAGTAACGAAGATCGGGTAAAGATGATGTGGGTTTTGGGTGACAGAAATACTTACGGCCGTGCTCCGTCTGCAGTAGTCCAGCGTAGAGATAGATGTATTTGTTGCCTCGCTGTTGTAAGTCTGTGGAGCGACTCCAGATTCCCTGTTGTAAGTCTGTGGAGTGACTCCGGATTCCCTGTTGTAAGTCTGTGGAGAGACTCCGGGTTCCCTGTTGTAAGTCTGTGGAGCGACTCCGGATTCCCTGTTGTAAGTCTGTGGAGCGACTCCGGATTCCCTGTTGTAAGTCTGTGGAGCGACTCCAGATTCCCTGTTGTAAGTTTGTGGGGCGACTGCTGCTACCCTCTTGTAGTTCTGGGGGGCGACTGCAGCGATGATAATGGCGCCGTGTGGAATAATGTAGGGAAGAATTGGGCCTGGGCCGGGTCGGGAGGTGGTGGCGGTGGTAGTTGCGAGTGGTGTTGTTGTCTCAACAGTTGTGTTTTCTTCTGATCCCTGTAAATCAGTGGCCAGGGATGTTTCCTCTGTAGTTGTAGGTGTTTCCTCGGTCGTTGTTGCAGTGGGCGTGATTTCTTCGGTCGTTGTGCTATTAGATGATGTAGTTTCTTCTGTCGTTGGGACAGTAGATGATACTGTGGTAGGCTCCGTTGTTGTTTAGTAGATGTTGTCGTGGTCTCCTCTGGGGTTGTGCTAGTAGACTGTGTGGTCGTGGTTGGTTGGGCTGTCGTGTCTGTGGTAGTATCAGGTTCGCCCTGTGCATCTGTTGCCGGGATGGTGGTTCTCCGTGTTGTGGTCCTTCTATAAACAGGATACACGTTAGATCTAAACGGCAGCGGTTCGCCGACCTGGTCTAGCGTATCCGGCTCGACGTCCCCTTCATCTGCGAACGGGACATTGAAGCTGAGTGGGACAGGGGCGGGAAAGTCGGGGCCACGGCTCCTGGTCGGGTTTTTCTTCTTGAAGAATTTTTTCTTATATCCAAAACGGCCATGACCGAAGAATTCTGGGGGATCTTCTCCGTCAGTCTGGAAGTCGACAGAGACGTTTAGCACGCTTGCGGTGGTCGGTGTGCTGGTGGTGATCTCCTCGCCCTGAAGATCTGTGGGCAGACTTTCTGTAGTGGTAGAAGTTGGAGCCGATGTAGTTGTGGTTGTCTCTTCCGTAGTAGTAGTTGTAGGTGCTACTGTCGTTGTTGTTGTTGTTGGTTCTGGGGTGGTTGTCGTTGTGGATGGTGGTGTGGTTGATTCAGTTGTAGTTGTTGAGGTTGTTGTGTTGGTTGAGGTTGTTGTTGTGTCGACATCTTCTGTTGATCCTATACCTTGAAGGTCGGTGGGTAGTTCTGCGGTGGTTGTTGTGGTTGTTGCTGATGCTGTTGTAAGTGGTGGTAAACGTGCTGTGTTGTAATATTTGCCCCGAATAGTTGATGCTGCGGAAAACGGGAAAACTGTGGGAAGATAACAATATACAGGTTGGTATGGAAATACTTGCAGAAATCTGAAAGATAACATGATACAAGTTGATGTGTGGATACTTGCAGAAATATTGAAAATAACAAGATACAGGTTGGTGTGTTGATACTTGCAGAAATATGGAAGATAACATGATACAAGTTGGTGCGGGGATACTTGCAGAAATATGGAACAAAACATGATACAAGTTGGTGTGGGGATACTTGCAGAAATATGGAACAAAACATGATACAAGTTGGTGTGGGGATACTTGCAGAAATATGGAACAAAACATGATACAAGTTGGTGTAGGGATACTTGCAGAAATATTGAAGATAACAAGATACAGGTTGGTGTGAAAATACTTGCAGAAATATGGAAGATAACAAGATACACGTCACACAGTGCTCCACACATCAGTCAGTGCTCTTCACATCAAAATGTTCCACACATCACAGGGTCCCACACATCACAGTGTCCTACACATCATAGTGCTCCCACATCACAGTGTTCCACATATCACAGTGTACCACACATCACAGTGTTCCACACATCACAGTATGCTCCAGATCACACAATATTTTACACATCACATGGTGCAGTACGCATTCCATACGTCACGCAATGTTTCACACATCACACGGTGCTCGATAAATCATACAATATTCAACATATCACATAATTCTCTATGCGTCACACAGTGTTCCTAACATCGCACATGCTCCACACATCATACATGTTCCACACATCGCACATGCTCCACACATCATACAATGCTCCACACATTCTACAATGTTCCACACATCACATGATGTCCCACACATCACATACAAAGAATAATAGAGAGTTTTTTTCCCAGTAGAAATTAGGTCATGTTCTTGCAAGACAAATGTTCACAGACAAAATGTATGGTCACAACTGGTATGTGGAAACTTACATATTTGAAGAGACAACAGGAGGATCACAGCAATCCTGGCCATCTTCTGATGTCTACTGGAGGTGATGACTAAACACAATCGTGTGACACTCAACAAGTCCCTGGACAAAAGGCATTGCTGGCAGAAAGATTGTTGCCTTTTTATAGTCGTCCAGTGCAGGATAGATAAGGTCAGCTGTGTATGCCACCTCTCCACCTTTGACACCCCTTGATGATTCATTCGGCATCTAATGCGTGAGCCAAGTGCCAGGTGACTTCCGCAAATTGTTGTGAATTATCTCCTGCATTCGATTTGCATCTCAATGACCAGCTATCACCACTCTCCGCCACTGGACATTTTTGAAGAATTAAACGACAGATTGGAGATGTAACTATTATCTTGTGGTGACAGTTGTACAGGCTTTCCCACGCTACATTACAGGCTATCCCCGCCATGTTGCTGGTTGTTGGTAGACAGGGTCTACAGTCAAACATGGCTGCCAGTGGCGGGCATCGGTGCCTGTCGTCATGAGTGGCTCAATTGATGTTACTTACGTGGCAACTATGTTTGATATTTCTTGCATTGACAAGCCTGGAGATACATAAACATTAACAAGAGTGGATAGACATAACATTGACAAGAGTGGATATATATAACATTGACAAGACTGGACATACATAAACATTAACACGAGTGGATATACATAACATTGACAAGAGTGGATATATATAACATTGACAAGAGTGGATATACATAACATTGACAAGAGTGGACAGACAGAACACTGACAAGAGTGGACATACATAACATGGACAAGAGTGGACATACATACCATTGACATGGTGGACATACATAACATGGACAAGAGTGGACATACATAACATGGACAAGAGTGTACATACATACCATTGACAAGAGTGGACATACACAACATTGGCAAGAGTGGACATACATACCATTGACAAGAGTGGACATACACAACATTGACAAGAGTGGACAGACATAACATTGACAAGAGTGGACATACATAACATTGACAAGAGTGGACATACATAACATGGACAAGAGTGTACATACATAACATTGACAAGAGTGGACAGACATAACATGGACAAGAGTGGACAGACATAACATTGACAAGAGTGGACATACATAACATTGACAAGAGTGGACATACATAACATTGACAAGAGTGGACATACATACCATTGACAAGAGTGGACATACAAAACATTAACAAGAGTGGGCATACATAACATGGACAGGTGTGTACATACATAACATTGACAAGAGTGGACAGACATAACATGGACAAGAGTGGACAGACATAACATGGACAAGAGTGGACATACATAACATTGACAAAAGTGGACAGACATAACATGGACAAGAGTGTACATACATAACATTGACAAGAGTGGACACACATAACATGGACAAGAGTGTACATACATAACATGGACAAGAGTGGACAGACATAACATGGACAAGAATGGACATACATACCATTGACAAGAGTGGACATACATAACATGGACAAGAGTGTACATACATAACATGGACAGGAGTGGACATACATAACATGAACAAGAGTGGACATACATAACATGGACAAGAGTGGACATACATAACATTGACAAAAGTGGACAGACATAACATGGACAAGAGTGTACATACATAACATTGACAAGAGTGGACATACATAACATTGACAAGAGTGGACATACATAACATTGACAAGAGTGGACATACATAACATGGACAAGAGTGGACATAATACCATTGACAAGAGTGGACATACATAACATGGACAAGAGTGGACACACATAACATTGACAAGAGTGGACATACATAACATGGACAAGAGTGGACATACATAACATGGACAAGAGTGGACATACATAACATGGACAAGAGTGGACATACATAACATGGACAAGAGTGGACAGACATAACATTGACAAGAGTGGACATACATAACATTGACAAAAGTGGACAGACATAACATTGAACAAAGGGGACATACATAACATGGACAAGAGTGGACATACATAACATGGACAAGAGTGTACATACATAACATTGACAAGAGTGTACATACATAACATTGACAAGAGTGGACATACATAACATTGACAAGAGTGGACATACATAACATGGACAAGAGTGGACATACATAACATGGACAAGAGTGGACATACATAACATGGACAAAAGGGGACATACATAACATGGACAAGAGTGGACATACATAACATGGACAAGAGTGTACATACATAACATTGACAAGAGTGGACATACATAACATGGACAAGAGTGGACATACATAACATGGACAAGAGTGGACATACATAACATGGACAAAAGTGGACATACATAACATTGACAAGAGTGGACATATATAACATTGACAAGAGTGGACATACATAACATTGACAAGAGTGGACATACATAACATGGACAAGAGTGTACATACATAACATGGACAGGAGTGGACATACATAACATGAACAAGAGTGGACATACATAACATGGACAAGAGTGGACATACATAACATTGACAAAAGTGGACAGACATAACATGGACAAGAGTGTACATACATAACATTGACAAGAGTGGACATACATAACATTGACAAGAGTGGACATACATAACATTGACAAGAGTGGACATACATAACATGGACAAGAGTGGACAGACATAACATTGACAAGAGTGGACATACATAACATTGACAAGAGTGGACAGACATAACATTGACAAGAGTGGACATACATAACATTGACAAAAGTGGACAGACATAACTTGAACAAGAGTGGACATACATAACATTGACAAGAGTGGACAGACATAACATTGACAAAAGTGGACAGACATCAGAACATTGACAAGAGTGGACACACATAACATTGAACAAAGGGGACATACATAACATGGACAAGAGTGGACATACATAACATGGACAAGAGTGTACATACATAACATTGACAAGAGTGTACATACATAACATTGACAAGAGTGGACATACATAACATTGACAAGAGTGGACATACATAACATGGACAAGAGTGGACATACATAACATGGACAAGAGTGGACATACATAACATGGACAAAAGTGGACATACATAACATTGACAAGAGTGGACATATATAACATTGACAAGAGTGGACATACATAACATTGACAAGAGTGGACATACATAACATTGACAAGAGTGGACATACATAACATGGACAAGAGTGGACATACATACCATTGACAAGAGTGGACATACATACCATTGACAAGAGTGGACATACATAACATTGACAAGAGTGGACATACATAACATTGACAAGAGTGTACATACATACCATTGACAAGAGTGGACATACATAACATTGACAAGAGTGGACATACATAACATTGACAAGAGTGGACATACATAACATTGACAAGAGTGGACATATATAACATTGACAAGAGTGGACATACATAACATTGACAAGAGTGGACATACATAACATGGACAAGAGTGTACATACATAACATGGACAGGAGTGGACATACATAACATGAACAAGAGTGGACATACATAACATGGACAAGAGTGGACATACATAACATTGACAAAAGTGGACAGACATAACATGGACAAGAGTGTACATACATAACATTGACAAGAGTGGACATACATAACATTGACAAGAGTGGACATACATAACATTGACAAGAGTGGACATACATAACATGGACAAAAGTGGACATACATAACATTGACAAGAGTGGACATATATAACATTGACAAGAGTGGACATACATAACATTGACAAGAGTGGACATACATAACATGGACAAGAGTGTACATACATAACATGGACAGGAGTGGACATACATAACATGAACAAGAGTGGACATACATAACATGGACAAGAGTGGACATACATAACATTGACAAAAGTGGACAGACATAACATGGACAAGAGTGTACATACATAACATTGACAAGAGTGGACATACATAACATTGACAAGAGTGGACATACATAACATTGACAAGAGTGGACATACATAACATGGACAAGAGTGGACAGACATAACATTGACAAGAGTGGACATACATAACATTGACAAGAGTGGACAGACATAACATTGACAAGAGTGGACATACATAACATTGACAAAAGTGGACAGACATAACTTGAACAAGAGTGGACATACATAACATTGACAAGAGTGGACAGACATAACATTGACAAAAGTGGACAGACATCAGAACATTGACAAGAGTGGACACACATAACATTGAACAAAGGGGACATACATAACATGGACAAGAGTGGACATACATAACATGGACAAGAGTGTACATACATAACATTGACAAGAGTGTACATACATAACATTGACAAGAGTGGACATACATAACATTGACAAGAGTGGACATACATAACATGGACAAGAGTGGACATACATAACATGGACAAGAGTGGACATACATAACATGGACAAAAGTGGACATACATAACATTGACAAGAGTGGACATATATAACATTGACAAGAGTGGACATACATAACATTGACAAGAGTGGACATACATAACATTGACAAGAGTGGACATACATAACATGGACAAGAGTGGACATACATACCATTGACAAGAGTGGACATACATACCATTGACAAGAGTGGACATACATAACATTGACAAGAGTGGACATACATAACATTGACAAGAGTGTACATACATACCATTGACAAGAGTGGACATACATAACATGGACAAGAGTGGACATACATAACATGGACAAGAGTGGACATACATAACATTGACAAAAGTGGACATACATAACATTGACAAGAGTGGACATACATAACATTGACAAGAGTGTACATACATAACATTGACAAGAGTGGACATACATAACATGGACAAGAGTGGACAGACATAACATGGACAAGAGTGGACATACATAACATTGACAAGAGTGGACATACATAACATTGACAAGAGTGGACATACATAACATTGACAAGAGTGGACATACATAACATGGACAAGAGTGGACAGACAGAACATTGGTTAGGAACTGGGTTCAGGTCTTTACGACTCCCACGTCGACCCAGCTTTACACGGCTACAAGGTAAAGTCCTGGAAGTAAAGGCGACCGGCATGATACTGACAGCATCACCCACTACGTGACTTATGGTCTATAAAGTATAGGTCTAGCCAAAAATGCCCAATATGCCTGAGCC